CTGCGTCACCAGCACCGACAAACAACCGATGCAGATGGTGACAAGCTCCGAAGATATGCGGCTCTCTTTGATGGCACCGGCGCCGTTGGCGGCGCTGCCCTCCAACAACAGCTCCTCGAAATGTGCCACGACCTCAATGCTACGGTTCCCGCACCTGACAGCCTACACCACCTCCCTGACCCACGGGTCATTGTCCTTCGGCACTCGGTACAGCTCCCCCTCAACCTAAGCCTCGCCCTCATTCACGCGCAACAGCATAACCAGCCCGCTTATGTCTGGCGGAGCCAGGACGTTGCAGCTGATGGCTCCCCTTTATCTTCCACCACCCTCGGTCACCTCGAAACCACCTTCAACGCTCGCATGCCAGCCGTTGGCATCTTCCCCGGCCGTTGGCATCTTCCCCGGCATCCGCTACATTTTCTCCGACAATGCTTACAAGCACCTGTACCACGTCCACAACAACGGCTGCACCGATGTCCGGCTCATCCTGCACCCCAACGAACCCCGCCAGCAGTTTACCAACCCCGACTCCGGTATCCACATACTACACTACCCTCCACAAGCTATCGTTGTCACACCTGATGGTCCCAGCGTTGGAGCAGTCTGCACCCATCCTGCTATTCCCGCAAACTGCATCCCAGTGCTCCTGAGCCACACCCGCGTCCCGTGCGCCGTTCAATCTGCCCCCCGTGCCACCCTTTATGTCATCCTAACCCGGTTCGCCAAATTCTCCCAACTCCGCTTGTTGACGCCGCTTTGGCAACCTGGCGACGAGGCAGCAAAGCAGCGTGTACTGGCCAAGCTCACTGCGCTTGCTGCTCCTGATCCCGACTTACGCGCGGAATGGCTTCGCCTTCAAGACCTCGCACAAAATACCCAGGAGCGCTACTCTGAACTCCTGCGTGCATGCAAGGCTGCAGCTGCACCATCTTTAATTTCGACTCAAGCACGCCCAGGTAAGCGCCCTTTTAGGCTCCTCTCGCACCATCGTTGCTCATGCTGCCGCTATCTACACACTCGCTGCCTTTCATTCCCCCCCACCCCTCAGGAAGCCCTGCCAACGCGTCCGCTGCTACTGCTGGTGCACGCTAGCGCACTTGCGCACGCACAAGCCTGGAGCCGCCAACATGTTCGTTCAGCATACGTTGTTTGGAGTTGGGGGGTACATCCAGGCTAGAAGTATGGACCGGGCTTGTATGAATGTTGAAGAACGTCTTACGTTGTTGGAACGCGATGATTCCAACTACTGACGGATGCTGTATAGCGGCTGCATGCTGATCAACGCGAAGGCTGGCAGTTCCCTTGCTGGCGACGACGACACCTGCTCCCTCGTCACGGACCACGCGTGCGCTATCATGCCCATTAAGTCCGGCAACACCCTCCTCCTGTCGGTCCTCACCCACCCCAATGTCATCCCCCTCGTCACCCACTTCGGCGACCCGCGTGGTACGCCCTTCAGTGGAACTGTCACTGGCGCCTTCCTGCCGCAAGCCCACAACCCGCTGCACGCTGGGTAAGCTGCCGTCACCCTTCCCCTTCTACAGCCCCCTTCACGCCTTCTATTGCACCCCTTCCCTTGTCATTCCTTTAACCCCGTCTCCCTCTCCATTCCCTCCACAGGTGCACCGCCTGCGGCTCCTCCATGCCCCTGGATGCCACGCACTGCCCCACCTGCAACGCAAGCGCCGACGACCACGCGGCGGTCATCGTCCTCGGACACGACAGCAGGGAAGCTCACGACACACAATGCAAGGCCGAGTGTAGATAATGTGGTTTAAGGCGGCGCGGAGGAAGGGCAGTACGCCGGAAACGTGAATGGGCAGGGAAGGCTTGTTACTGCCTGAGAAGCGGCACAGAGGAACGTGAAACACAAGAGAGCATGGTAATATTGTACACCTGAATAGCACAAAGGTGTTATGTAACAACATTAACGGATGCGTGCTGGTGCACTCGTCATCCAAGCGCATGCTCATGAGCTGAGAAGGTGCACCTTGCGCTGCGAAGGCTTGAGCCGCGCAGCCCTATCTATGACATTTCGCAGCAAAGAGAGTACACAAGCGTGGCAAAGGTCAGGCAGAACTGGTTGAGCAACGTACTGGCTTCGCTCTTTCGGGCTGGGCGGGTCGGGCTGGCTCACATGTTGCAACTTATGTTGACGCCTTTTCCCTCAGTCAGTTAGTTGTTTCCTCTTTATCCCCCCTCAACCCTTCCTCTACCACCCCACCTTCGCCTCACCAGCCCCCACCAACCTGCTACACCACCATCTTGGACACGCTTTGGGATACATTCCTCGCCTTTGAGCAGCAGCCCACCGCAAATGCACGCCTTACCCGCCACTTCCTTGCCAATGCAACCAGTCGTGCTCAGTGCCGGCAACGCTCCGCACAACGGCTTGCAGCCTTGCAGGAGGAGGAGGAGGAGGACGCCCATGATGCCGCGCTCCTTCAAGGTGTTGTACACCTCGACCCTTTTCTGATGAGTACGCAGACCTCGCTGCCCAAATCAATGATGACGACGCCCCCGATGCTCATCCCCCTGAAACCTCTCCGCTACCCGCCGCCTCCAGCGCCCCCACTGATCTTCCTGCCTCCCTGGACACCCTCGCCCGCCTACGCTCAATGACCACCACCGCCTCCCTCCCCAACCTTACCGACACTCGCCTTCTATCCTATGTGGCTCGTGCCGTTGAGCGCATCCCTTTGGCTACGCCGGGTACTACTCCACACACTCCGAGCTCTGCTTCCCATCCACCCTAGTCCCCAAAGCGCTGTTCCCCACGAACACGCTTCACATATCTGCTTTATTGCTCGCCTTCCATGCGACCCTCCTTGCAATGCCATCCCAACTTCCGCCCGTACGGAACCATTCCAGGCACGTGCCTTGTACAAGCGCACTATCGGGCCCCCACCACCGACCGGCCGCACGATACCAGTACTTCCGCCCTTCAGACTACCGGTACGTCCCTGCCGTACCACTCCTACAGCGAGCCCTCTGTGACGCCTCTCAACCGTTCCTTCGTACCTTTCACCTCAGCTCTAGTTCAACGGCGCCTTTCATCTGCACCCATCTTTAAACCACCGCTTCGCGTGTCCCCTCGTACGCTCCTCACCCTATTTAACGCCCCTCTACCTCCTCCATGCCACCGTCTTCCTTCCCGTGCTTTCGATACCTTGCCTCCCTTGCCTACCCTCACTGCGCCACTACAACCTGTCCACCACCAAACCCACCGCTATGCATGACAAGTTCCGGCAACTTCATAGCACCTCTGGCCATGCCATAAAGCATGAGGACAACCACCTCCTCGCCCACAAGGTGGTGGGCCACCACTTCGTAAGCTCATGCCACCCAGCTGCAACTTCACAAACCCTCTTCTCAGTCCTTCCCTGCCTCCCTCTGCATTTACACCCCCCCCCTTTCAGACTCACGGTACCACCCACACTGCCTCTGTGCTCAGCGTGACGATCCCCAGCCATGGCCCCAGCATGGACATTGACCCTCGCCTGCAAGTACCCGTTCGCTGTGACAAGATCATCGGCCGGATCAACGACCGCGACCTCGTGGCCGTCCTTGACTGGCACAATAACCCCGGCGGACTCCATCACTCCGCCGCCCCAACAGCAGCGGCCGCGCTGCCAGCGATTTCACGTACTCCATCCTGCTCAGCACAGCACCCCAGCACAGCACCCTGCTCTTCATGCGCCTCGAAATCCAGTTCTCCATCTCCTTTGCCCTATCCCTCCAGCCATCTACCGCTCCAATGCTTCCTCACCTCTCTCCTGTATATTCACCCTCCACCTCAGATCACCGGCTCTACCATCAAGCGCGGCCCCACCCCTGACCCCGCGGTCGGCCTCACCATCAGCATCGGCCCCAACACCTCTCCGCCCCCGCCCTCTGGCGCCACGGCTGCATGTTGATCAACGCGAAGGCTGGCAGTTCCCTTGCTGGCGACGACGACACCTTCTCCCTCGTCGCGGACCACGAGTGCGCTATCATGCCCATTAAGTCAAGCAACACCCTCCTCCTGTCGGTCCTTACCCACCCCAATGTCATCCCCCTCGTCACCCCCTTTGGCGACCCGCTTGGTACGACCTTCAGCAGGACTGTCACCGGCGCCTTCCTGCCGCAAGCCCACAACCCGCTGCACGCTGGGTAAGCTGCCATCACCCTTCCCCTTCTACACCCCCCTTCAGGTTGACATACCGCACTTCCTTCCTTGTGCTCTGCACTAATACTTGTGCTGCTCTCGTGTGGCACAATTGGGTTAGGCGTGTGATGGCCGCGAGTCGAGCGGACTGTGCTTGCCCCATAAGGTGGAGTCCAGTCCGTTGGCTATGTAGTCAAACAGCTATCGAGTAGATGTGTTGTGAACGGTTCACTCGTACTGGGCGGTTGAAGTTTTAGTGCGCCTGCGCCGGCAATAGCTTCCCGCTTTCATTACGCATGTTCACGCCGCCAACTAGCTTATTTTATAACACCTTCGATTTGCATCTACGTGTTGCCTTATTTCGTTGTACTCTTAGTTTTTCCAAACTTCCCATGGCAATGTCCCATGTCTCCGATGCTAAGGGGCATGGTTCAGTATTGTCCCAGCCACCGCCCGGTGAATAAACGCTACGAAAGGACGCACTAGGCCTACCCCTATGTAAACACCCTCGCACCACCAGCTTGGCTATCCTCCCCTACATCCGCACACCACACACTACCTGCAATCAACAGATTTTGCCCTCTCACCCGACCAAAGGGAGGCTTGATGCAAAATCTGTAGATGCGAAATCTGCAGATTTCGAAGGCACGCCTTTAACGTTTCGCCCGCAGGGCAGGGTACTGGGCGAAAGGCAGGTTATTCGCCGAATACGAATTCGCCGCAATTTGCCTATTCGCCTGCCGGGCCTTTCCAAGTCGGCGGAAAGGCGAATTGCCCGTACGACGGCCTTGCCGTACGGCAATCTACTGAATCTTGCGATTTTTGTCCCACTTCTGTGCTCCTTTTTAGAGTAGTCCGTTGACAACCCAGCTGAGGACCGCATTTGGGTTCATTAGGGCAATGGTTAGGAGGCTTTAAAATGTCCACTGCTGAGCCTATTGGCTCGGATGACGAAGTCATCAGCGGAGATGAGGTAGAAATCGTCACCGCTAAGCGACAGAAGACCGGCCCAGGCAGAGGTGTAAAGGAATGCGGGGTCCTGTGGAGCTACTTTGTGAAGGTCCGCAAGCGCGACGACAAGTCGAACCGCTGGGAAGTCGCATGCAAGGAATGCGGCACGGAGATTGCCAGCGGAAAGACGGCGGACATGACGGGGCACGTCCTGTACAAGTGCAAGGGAGATGTTAAGGCGGCGGACAAGGAGTTCCTTTCGCAGAAGGCTGCGCGCGCGGCTGCGGCGCCCGAGGCCTCCTTCTCGGAAGGCTCGGCGACCTCAACACGCAGGGATGTGAAGCGCCAGAGCAAGCTGACTGCCTTTATTGACACCACAAAGCTAACGGATGAGCAGGAGCGCGGCTTGCGGATGAAGCAGTTGCGCGCCTTCGTCAGTGGCGGCATCCCCTTCGCCTGGGCCGATTCACCATTCTTCAAGGACTGGCAGCTTAGTGTGCGCCCAAACCTGTTCCCAGCAAGTAAGACGGTTGTTGAACCTTTTGCAAGCTAGGGATATGCCGAATGGGGTTTGTGCCTTGCCCTGAGCGTGTAGTGCTGTGTTTACCGGTAGGTCTTGCACCCTCACCTTGGTCCATGCTTGCATGCAGGCGCGGACATGCTGCGACAGAGCCTCCTGCCGGCAGAATATGCCCGCGTGCTACGGGAGATCATTGAGGCTGTCGGCATGGAGGGACAGGTGGTGGTCTGTGTAGATGGGTGGTCGAACCGCAAGCACCAATCCATCATGAGCTGCGTCATCATCTTCCCCTCCACTCGGGACACGTTCCTGCTCTGCTCAGAGGAGGCATCAACGGAGAGCCACACAGCCCAGTTTCACGTCGGTGAGTACTTGCAAAGGTCATTGTAGCATTGGAAATGTAAAATGGGTCATGCCGCTTTGTAGGTTTGCGGCCTTGCAATGCTCTACATGCCCCTTAGCATGGCTTATCAAGCCGCTTCCCGTTCCAGGGCTCTTCAAGCGGTTCATTGAGAAGGTTGGCGGTCCGGAGCGGGTGGTAGCTCTCGTCACGGACAACGCTGCAGCCGTTAGGAGCGGCAGGGAGGAGTTGGTGAAGGAGGATAAGTACAGGCACATCCTGACCGTCAGGTGCGAACGCATATGGTACTGTCGCTTGCCGTGAAGGGAAGGTACTGATTGCGGTTTGAGTTTTATCCTAGCTCTGGTTCAGCACCCCGTGGTCCATGAGTCTCTCCGACTTACGTCGTGTTGCCTACTTCCTCCTTACGCAGGTGCTTCATGCACGCGTTCAACCTCGTCATGGCTTCGGTCTCTTCGCACCCGGTAGCCAAGGCTATCATCACCAAGGCCCAGCGTGTCGTGACGTATTTCCGCGCATCGCACATGGCAGGTGGTCTGCTCAGGGGTGTCGTGGACCTGAAGATCAAGGCCGGGGAGATGGAGCGTGCGAGGGCCTTGGCAACGTCCAACAAGACCCGCTTCACATCCGTCCTGATGTGCCTGGAGTCTGTGCTCTATAACGAGCTTGCCCTGCGTGCTGTCGTGGCGATTCACCACGCCACCCTTTTCGCCAAGGACAACACGGACGTAGCGGGCATTATCACGGACGATGAGTTCTGGTCGGGGCTGCGGGAGCTCGTCAGCGTCCAGGAGCCATTCGGGAAGGTCATCATGGCTGTGCAGAAGGACTCGGCGACGCTTGGGTGTGTGACGCGGTACTGGGCGTACCTGCGCAGGAGCTTGGCGGCTGTGCTGCCGGGGATTACTGACGATGGTGGGTGGGGCTTGGATTATGGGGGTTACGTGCATGCAAGGTCGCAAATCCGTTGTTACCCAGCCACCGGTGCCTTTTACGCACAAAGTGAACACTATAACAAGAATGTTTTCACTCCGACAGGATATCGGAGGCACATCATCAGGGCGTTTAACACACGCTTGAACGAGATTGGAGTGAAGGGAGGCAAGCTCAACCGGCTGACGCTTTTCCTGGACCCACGGTACTGCGGCATGCTGGACTCCTCTACGGACGAGATGCTGGACGAGCTGAAACTGACGGTGAGTGCTAGGGTACGGGTACGTGCCTCTGGGTACGGTATTCAGCGTTATACGTTGCCGTTACCTTTAATAACAGGACTCCTGCTGTTGGTATGCTTGGTGTTTAGGACTCAATGCTGATGCACATATTGTTATTGCTACCTGTACCCTAACGCTGTTCTCTTTACTCCCATGCTTCCATTACCATGACAGGCAGCGGAGATCTTTTCTGACAAGTGCATGAGTGAAGCTGTTATCAGGCAGCTGCTGGAAGAGCTGTTGTCCTACAACTGCATGGACGGCGTGTTTAAGAAGCTGGGGGCCATCGGCAGTTCGTACGCTGACCTTCGCAGCTTCTGGGGTCGACTACGGACTTTGAAAGGTGCTTCCACCTTGGCGACTCTGGCAATGACCCTCATCAATGTCGTGCCGCATGCTGGTGGTGTTGAGCGTGCCTTCAGCATCATGGGTGGCTTTGAGACTCAGACCCGCAACCGGATGTCTTCAGACACCAACAACATGCTTACAACGGTCAAGATGTGGAACGCAGCGCAAGTCCCCCATGACAAGAAGGAGGCAACAAGTGCTCCTGTGCTGCGCGGCAGTCCAAGTACACCACAGGGCGCACAAGTGCCAGTGCAGCCCCTGGCGCAGCCACCCAGGCTGCCACCCAAGCCACCACGGCCGCCAGCGCCTCCAGCACGCGCGCCCCAGCAGAACCCACGACTACAACAGCAGCTACAGCCCCCTCCACCAGTGCAGCAGCCGCAAACACAGCAGCTGCAGCTCCCGCCTACGCAGCAGCTACAGCTCCTGCCATCGCAGCTCCCGCCGTTGCAGCAGCCACAGCTCCCGCCTACGCAGCAGCTACAGCTCCTGCCATCGCAGCTCCCGCCGTTGCAGCAGCCACAGCTCCCGCCTACGCAGCAGCTACAGCTCCTGCCACCGCAGCTCCCGCCGTTGCAGCAGCCACAGCTCCCGCCTACGCAGCAGCTGCAGCACGTATCGCAAGGACACTTCGCAGCAACTGCACAAGGGGTTACCCTTGCGCCTGCTCAGGTTGCGGCCTTGGGCCCTGTCCTGGAAGCGTTGCGTTGCATGACATCACAGCAGCAGCAGCAGTTCCTACGGGCGCGCCCTGACGTGATGACTTTGCTGCGGCTCCTTCAGCAGCCCCCGGGGCTGCAGCAAGCAAACGCGGCTGGCTTGCAGCCGGCAGCACAGCCGCAGCAGCCGCCGCAACAACAGCAGCCCCAGCAGCAGCAACAGCCACTGCGTCAAGAACCTCAGCTGCCTGTACCCCAGAGGCCTGGGCCCTCAAGCGCAGCCTCGGCATCACAGCTGCTGCCAGCTCAAGGCCGGGCTGCCAGTCATTCCAGGGGGAGTGTACATGGCGCTTATGGAGCGTATGGCCCTGCGGATGGTGGGAGTGAGGTATCGGCAGGGGCTGCTGCACAAGGAGCTGCAAGGACCAATGAGGAGGCTGTTGAAGGGGACGTTACCACGGTGCAGGAGCTGGAGGAGGAGCTCGGCGTCCTTGCAGAGCTAGTGCAGCGGGACTTGGCGGAAGATGTTGCTATCCTTTGTGATGCTGGGGAGTGGGAGGAGGCGGATAAGCTGGCTGAGGTGTACGGGCTGATTGATAACCCGAACATTTGCCCCTTAGAGCCCTTTCCCAGGGCTTCGCTGCCTCCCCTTGGGCTCGGCAACGCGCCCAGGAACCGTGAAAACTTGGCTAGAATCGTAGCAAGCGTGCGTTGATAGGTGCTGCATGCGCAGGTTTGTGGCTGTGTGTGTATTAAATTTAGGGGCTGGCACGCTGGCTGCTGGGGGCTGTATGAATGCGGAACAAAACAAATGAATATTTTTGAACGGGAATGCATTAAACGATCCTATTACAGTATTACTGTCAAGTTGTCGGTCATGATGGTCAGATGGACGCCTAGAAAACGGACTGGACCATAAACTGTTGATACAGTAAATAGCAGGAAAAGGAAAGCGTACTAAATGGTGGATTGTAACAGGGAAAGGGCTAGCCAAACGCTACCAAGCAATAATAGCAATGCCGTACAGCTCGCCTTGCTCGCCTTCTTCGCCTATTTCGCCTGGAATTATTCGCCTTTCGCCGCCCATCTTTCAAATGCGCCCAGTACCCTGCCGCAGGGGACTGGTGTACGACAACAAAACCTGGGGCTCCAGAACCGCTCTGGAAGGGTTGCAGCGAAGGACGCAGGAACAACCGCGATGTACGCTCTGACATTAGCTGTAAAAGCGTATGAAAAAAGCTATGTAAATAAAGGCTCCTTCGCGTCGGGCGACGTTCAGACTTCTGGGCCGAGCTTCGGACGTGAAAGCGTCAAAGCTAAGGCTGCAATGTACTAGCTTATAGTTACTGGTAATGGACAAAAGCGGTGTAGGTGAAAAGCGTCTGCCGCAAGCGCAAAGGGGCGACGAATTCTAATTGCCCTGTCAGAGACGTTCTGTAAGCGCGTGAAGCGCTCGGATGCATTAAACTAAAATTTAACATTTTGAGCATGTTTCCTTGAAGAGGACGGCGATGGCCTGTCACTTGAGTAGTGCAAGTGTTCTGCATTTCCTTGCCAAACTCATACTCGCCGCCTGCAATGCTTGCTAACGCGTTACCAGGATGATATAGAAGCAGAGCGGTGAGCCCAGGTGTGCACGTGCGGGCTGCACATGCGCAAAGCAGCTTCACGAACATGAAGGTCAGCACGTGCCCCGGCAAAACCCGCGAGCGGCAGTGCAAGTCGTGTCACGCCCGATCCCAGCGTCCCCACCTTGCCCAGCAAACATCCATGTCTTCCCTGGCCTGCCAAGTACTGACGCTCATGTGGGCATGCGCCAGCCTGCCCAACCAATACACACAGCACTCCCGCCCTGCCCAAAGCCCATAATAACAGACATGCCCCCCTTTGACGTGCTGCATCCCGCCATCACTGTTTTACAAGCCAACCGCATGTGGTGGCTTGAGTGACGTACGCGAGCAAGGAGCACAGATGCCGCATGCCACAGGCAGCTCCATGAACGGGCAGGTCAGCAGGTGGCCTAGCAAGCGGGGGCCCTGACTCTCTCTCCCAGTACGGCTTCCAAACGCGCAGGCATTCTGCCCACACCACAGCGCCCATGAGTGCTGCCTCCCCCTCTCTACCCAACCTCTGGCGTGCATGCATCTCCACCCTGCTGGAGTACATACACCCATGCATGCAGCGTTCCCCGCTGTGCCTGACAGCTGGCGCCCATACATACCCCCATGCACGCAGGCAATCAATGCACCTACCCTGCCGGGGTCGGGAAGGGGTGCAGTGTATCTCGGGATGGTGCATGCTACGGCAGCGCACACATCACCACCCTGTTCACTGGCCCCCGTGCATGCAACGCATTCACCCTGCATCCAGGCATCCCTGCTGAGTGCATCCCCGCCTGTGCCCAAACTGTGAAAGCGCTCATGGATGCAGGCATCACAGTGGTTTCCGAAGACTCGAGCCCATGCGTGCCAGAAGGTGCATGCTGACATCCCCCCTGCCCAAATGCTGTGCGCCTGCATCCTCGTGCGTGCTCAAGCTGCCAAGGGGCTAGCTTTCATTCGTGGAGGAACCTCTATACTTTATAAATACGGGTGTCCATGTGTGGCATCTACGCCGTGCCCGAGCTCAGCACCCTAGCGTGCAAGCGTCCCTTCTCCCCAACTCACAGCGCTCATGCCTGCAGGGCAATCTCCACTTTGCACGCCACCAAGCACGTGTGCAGGCAGGCATCCCCGTCGTGCCCTGCTGTTCGTGCAGGCTACCCAACCCTTCCTTAACGGCCGAAACCCATACATACGTGTAGGCAACTACCGGTACAAAGTACCCATGCGTGCCGGCATGCTCGCACAGTTCAAGGCTTGCCAATACGACGATTGCCGCAATCACAAGTTGAGTGCAGCAAGAACAAGCAAAAAGACAGCATCGAGTGACCGCATACGTATGCGCGTAAGCAACACAGATGTGGCATGCCGAAGGCATCCCATGAATGGGCATATCAACAGGTACCCTAGCAAGACGGACCCCTGACGCTCTCCCACTACGGCTCCCATACGCACAGGTATCCTGCCCATGCCACAGCGCCCACGCGTGCTGGCTCCCTGCTCTTCCCAACCACTGGCTTGCATGCATCTCCACCTTGTATGGGCTGCAGTATGTACACCCGTGCGTGCAGCCTTCCCCGCTTTGTCTGACAGCTGGGCCCATGTACCGGTATGCAGACATCCCTGCACCCCCATGCACGCAGGCAAGCAAGTATGCGGAGTGCCCCGTCCTGCCATAGTTATCCTGGCACCCATGCAAGCATGCATCCCTGCCCCTAAAACCCTAAAATGGTGTTCATGCGGCCCCAACCCACGGTATCAGCGCCCGTGTGCGCACACATCACCGCCCTGCTCACTGGCCCCTGAATACACAGCATGCGCACCCTTCCTAGACGCCACCGGGACGGTGTCCCCACACTGGCCAACTGCGAATGCGCTTGCATGCAGGCAATCCCACCCTGCCCGAGCTCAGGCGTCACGAGCGAGAGTAAGCGGCAGGCCTGCATCATCAACAGCCCGTTGTTCCTGCACTCCCCTTGCACATGCTGCCACCATTCACGTCAACTGCAATCTCTTCCACCCATACATGCACACATCACCGCTGTGCCTCACTGCTGGCTCCCACACATGCAGGCATTCCCACACCCATGCACCCCAGCCGGGGTCGGGGGGGGGGCAGTATACCTCGCCCAGGCGGGGCGGTGTGTGATACAGCTGAAGCGGGATGCAATGTATCTCGCCCAGCCGGGGCGCTTCGCAGCCATGCAACAAGGCATTTTTAGGCGGAGCCCCCGTCGTGGTGCCCCCTTCGCGGTGCCCCCGTCGCGAACAGGCTTCGGGGGGGCGATGCCCACGTCCGTGTGTCCGTCCGTCCGTCCGAGTGTCAGGAACGGCAAAATACACAAACAGAACAAACCTAATTCATCTTCCTTGCCTGCACATCATCGGGCATCGGGCCTTTGTTTGACTCATCCATTTATCTTTCACTGTCCTGCTTTCGCAAATTTATGCCATGCGTGCCCAGCAGACGCCCATGTGGGCATGCGCCAGCCTGCCCAACCAATACACACAGCATCCCCGCCCAGCCCAAAGCCCATAACAGGCATGCAGGCATCCATGCTGTGCGCGTGCGTCCCCATGCGTGCTTGAGCTGCCAAGTGCAGGCATCATCGCCTCCCTTTGACCTGCTGCATCCCGCCATCACTGCTTTACAAGCCAACCGCATGTGGTGAATTGAGGTGACGTACGCAGACGTGCGCGAGCAAGGAGCACAGGTGCCGCATGCCACAGGCAGCTCCATGAACGGGCAGGTCAGCAGGTGGCCTAGCAAGCGGGTGCCCTGACCCTGACTCTCTCTCCCATTACGGCTTTCAAACGCGCAGGCATTCTGCCCACACCACAGCGTCCATGCGTGCTGCCTCCCCCTCTCTACCCAACCACTGGCGTGCATGCATCTCCACCCTGCTGGAGTACGTACACCCATGCATGCAGCGTTCCCCGCTTAGCCTGACAGCTGGTGCCCATACATACCCCCATGCACGCAGGCAATCAATGCACCTACCCTGCCGGGGTCGGGAAGGGGTGCAGTGCATCTCGGAATGGTGCGTGCTACGGCAGCGCACACATCACCACCCTGTTCACTGGCCCCCGTGGATGCAACGCATTCACCCTGCATCCAGGCATCCCTGCTGAGTGCATCCCCGCCTGCGCCCAAACTGTGAAAGCGCTCATGCATGCAGGCATCACAGTGGTTTCCGAAGACTCGAGCCCATGCGTGCCAGAAGGTGCATGCTGACATCCCCCCTGCCCAAATGCTGTGCGCCTGCATCCTCGTGCGTGCTCAAGCTGCCAAGGGGCTAGCTTTCATTCGTGGAGGAACCCTTCTCCCCAAATCACAGAGCTCATGCCTGCAGGGCAATCTCCACTTTGCACACCACTAAGCACGTGTGCAGGCAGGCATCCCCGCCGTGCCCTGCTGTGCAGGCTACCTAACCCTTCCTTAACGGCCGAAATCCATACATACGTGTAGGCAACTACCGGTACCAAGCACCCATGCGTGCCGGCATGCTCGCACAGTTCAAGGCTTGCCATAAAGACGATTGCCGCAAACACAAGTTGAGTGCAGCAAGAACAAGCAAAAAGACAGCATCGAGTGAACGCATACATATGCGCGTAAGCAGCACAGATGTGGCATGCCGAAGGCATCCCATGAATGGGCATATCAACAGGTGCTCTAGCAAGACGGACCCCTGACGCTCTCCCACTACGACTCCCAAACGCACAGGTATCCTGCCCATACCACAGTGCCCCTGCTCTTCCCAACCACTTGCTTGCATGCATCACCACCTTGTATGGGCTGCAGTATGTACACCCGTGCGTGCAGCCTTCCCCGCTTTGCCTGACATACAGCTGGGCCCATGTATCGGTATGTAGACATCCCTGCTGTGCTGGTGTTCTTGCGCCCGTGTGCGCACGCATCACCGCCCTGCTCACTGGATCCTGTACACACCGCATGCGCACCCTTCCTAGACGCCAGCGGGGACGGTGTCCCCACACTGGCCAACTGCGAATGCGCTTGCATGCAGGCAGTCCCACCCTGCCCGAGCTCAGGCGTCACGAGGGTAAGCGGCACGTCTGCAACAATACCGGTAGCCCATTGTTCCTGCACTCCCCTTGCAAATGATGCCACCATTCACATCAAAGGCAATCTGTGCCACCCATACATGCAGACATCACCGCTTTGCCTCATTGCTGGCTCTCACACATGCAGGCATTCCCACACCCATGCACCCCAGCCGGGATCGGGGGGAGGAGGAGGGGGTGTCGCCCAGGCGGGGCGGTGTGTGATACAGCTGAAGCGGGGTGCAATTGAACTTCCCCAGCCGGGGCGCTTCGCAGCCATGCACCAAGGCTTTTTTAGGCGGAGCCCCCGTCGTGGTGCCCCGG